CATCCTCCACAACTGGATTGAGGAACAGAACGACGGCAACTTGTCTGTTCCCCTACCCCCAATTCCCCAGCACTGTTCCCATCCTCCCAATTCCCCAATAAAAATCTTTAAAAAAAAAAAAGAGTATACATTAGCAATATTTTACATATCTCTACTGCCACATCACATCAAGATAAACTTTTATCGCCCCCTAAGTTTCCTCATGCCCCTTTGTATTCGAACCCTCCCTCCACGCCCATCCCAGGCAACCACTGATCTGATTTCTGTCACCATGGATTAGTTTGCAGTTTTTACTTTCTGTGAGTGGAATCACACAGTGTGTATTCTTTCCCACTTCCTTGACTCAGCATCATTTTGAGATCCATTCATGTTGTAGCATGTATTAATAGACTGATCCTTTTTACTGCTAAGATGCCTGTATGGGCATTCCACAGTTTACTTATCCATTGATGGACCCCTGAGCTGCTTCAAGTTCTGCACTATTACAAATAAGCTGCTGTGATGATTCAGAGCATTTCTATGAACAAATTTTTGTATGGACACTGTCTTTGGTTCTCTTAAGTAAATACATAGGAATGGGATGCCTGGATCACATAGGTGTGTGTTTAACTTTTTAAGAATCAGCCAAACTGTTTTCCAGGATGGTTACACCATCCCTTCAAGTTTTAAAGTTGTCGCCAAATAGCCCTTCATTTGTTATGTGGGTCAAAAATCTTGTGTGATAAGAAATTAGTGTTGACATGAAATCTTGACGTGCTAGTCCGACACATCTATAACGAGGGCTGCACCTACACCAGGCACCTCTCAGAGTAGTCAGAGGACAAGTGGAGAAGGACAGTCCACCCCAGCTTAAGGAGTCAGATACTGTTTAACATCCCCAACCCCCACCCCTGTGCCCGATCTTGAAAAGCAATGTGGCTCACCCTGAACCAAGCCATCCCCCCAAAACCTGCGAGCTTAGAGCCAGACATGCTGGGTAGAATCCCACGCAGCCCCTATTTTCTTGCTGTTTGACTGTGGCCAAATGCCTTAACCTCTGGGCACCTCTGCTGGCTCATCCATTTGTAATTTCCAAGAAGTACAAGCAACCAAGATGTCCTTAAACAGGTGAAAGAATTATTATTAAAAAAAAAAAAACACCTGTGGTACATCCATACAATGGAACTCAGTAGATACAGAAAAAGCATTTGACGAAACCCAACATCCTTTCATGATTTAAAAAAAGAAAAACACTCAAACTAGGAATAGATGGCATCTTATTCAATCTGATAAATGGCATGTATTAAAAACCCACAGCTAACATCTTACTTAATGGTGAAAGACTAGAAGATTTTCCTTTAT